CATGCTCGGGACCTTTTAGCCACAGGGCTTATGTTCAGGATTAAGCTCGTGAATCATTTCAACATTGGGAAGCTCCTGGAACAAGCTGGGCACTGTCGGGGATGCACCTCAGCCCTGTGCCCCCTGTCCGTGCTCTCCACCGAGGAGCATTCCAGGACACAGGGACTAGCCGTGTCTTTGTTCTTCCCTGGCTGCAGCTGTTCTGTGAAGGACGCTGTAGCAGATTTTTCCCTTTTCCTAGCTGTGCCATAGCCACTTGGAGGAAGTCTGGGGCTAACAGGCAGCTTTGTAAATGGCCCTGGGTCCTGCTGGCTCACCAGGGCCACGTGTGTGACTGCAGGTGCCGTTTCCTCCCTCCACATGAGGGTTCGTATCTGTCACCTGCACGAGATTGGCCGTCCTCACCCCTTGCCCTCTACCGTGACCCCCTTTGATTTCTCACGAGAGCAGCTTTGGCGGTTCCTCCAACTTCCCCAGTCCCCAGATAGCCCCACCGCATGCTGCTCTGTCCCTTGGCTGAGCTACAGCCCTCAGCTGTTTCACTGGGTCAGAGCAGCCACTTGCCGAGAGGAGCAAGGCTTCCGCGCAGGGCTGTGGGTCCTGTTTGCAGATCTGTAAGAGGAGAAGTTTGAAAGGAATTCAGCTAGAGCCTGCTGGTACTGTATAAAATATTTATTGATTTTGCAAAATGTTTTTAAATGCATCTGTAATAAAAATAAGAAACCATGCTGTGCATCTTGCACACTTTTATACCAACAAAAGGTATTTTTTCCTACTGCTGCACAGCAGCAAATATAACCATTCACTTCTTCCAAGTCCCGCTCTTGCGGCCGCCTCGCTTGGCTCCTCTCTGCCTTGTGGCGGGTGCCGCGCGGCGCGTGCCGCGGCCGTGCTCAGGACGCGTGCTGCCGGGTCACCAGGCTCCGCTGCAGCAGCGCCGCGTTCTTGCTCTTCTCCAAGACCAAGTTCTCCTGTTGCTGTTCCGTTTGCTCTTGTGTCGGGGCTGCTCTCCTCTCCTCCTCTAGCCTCTCTGGAGAGGTGAACGGACTGCACACTGTCTCCACCAGACCAATAACCACCCCAAAGAAAGCCAGCACGCTGCCCAGCATGTACAGCTTGACCATCTTCCTGTTGGGCTTCTGGCTGAGCATCTCTTTGGCAAAGGGGATGAGCTCATGCATGGTTTCCATCTTTCGCAGTAGATGTACAAGATGCCAGTCCTACAAGACAGGAGAGGGAGAGATAGTCAGTTGTATCCCAGCTGCTTTCCCCTGTAGCCCTCAGTGCCCCCAGAGCCGTCGCTATCTGCTGCCTCGAGGGGTGTCATTGTCGCCGCAAGCTCCCCCACCTCCGCGCACGTTGCGCGGGCCC